TTTAAAACAACGATCAACAAACACAGAAGGGTACCCAAGTTTCAATGCAATAGAACGAATGTGTTTCAATTCATTGTCAATAAATTCAGAGTCACAAATACGCAGACATCTTAGGAACATAGCAGAAAAAACTGACATTTTGGTAGACTCAAGGTGATTCGATAAAAAGTGAATGAAACTGTCTACCTGTGTGGGCTTTCTATATACCTTAAATTTATAGTTTTGGCCATTTCTCATGATAAGCATATCAAGAAATGGAAGGGATTCGTTTATTTCTCTTTCAATTTTGAATGTGATACTTGGGACAATATCATTAAGCTTGTCTAAAAATTCCAATGGGTCACTGTTTTTAGGCCAAAGACAAAGAACATCATCTACATATCTATACCATGGAGGAATAAAGCCCACTATATTGGGTAGTAATCTAGACTCAAAAACTCCATATAAATACAGGCTAGAGGAGCAGAAAGACAATTACCCATGCTCATGCCAAATATTTGCTTGTAGAACTTCACATTTGCACTAAACACATTGTCAGTTACGCATAACTCTATCAATTTCAGGAAAGTATCATGTTCAATAGTTAAATCTAGCAGTTGTAATTTATCTTTAAGAAATGAAAGTAAGTCTTTCACAGGTACTCTAGTGAACAGTGAATTTACATCAAAACTTATTAATTCGCAAGGTTCATTGTGTTTCTTGAGTTTATCAATTAAATCACTGCTATTGCGTATATGTGAATTAGATATTTGGCCTGTAAGAGGGGATATCATCTTTACCAGCCACTTGGATAATTTATAAGTAACAGAACCCACAGAACTCACGATAGGACGTAATGGATTATTAAGCTTGTGTGTTTTGATCAATCCATACATATAAGGTAAAGTGGGATTGATTTGAGAGAGCTGTTTAGTGAGATCGGGGTTCTTTTTCAATAACATCTTCATTTTGGAATTAGATAACTTATTAATATTTTCCAGGGGATCTTTCGTAAGCTCACAATACGTGCTTTCATCACTAAGTAATGAATTCATCTTATCATTGTAGTCACTTTTATCCAAGATAACAATAGCATTAGACTTATCAGCCTTGGTAATATGGATATTCTTATTTCTTTTCAAGTTTATCAAGGTACTCCGTTGTTTCCATTTTCCCGTGTGATTTTATCAAGATATATATATATATATATATATATATATATATATATATATATATATATATATATATATATATATATATATATATATATATATATATATATATATATATATATATATATATATATATATATATATATATATATATATATATATATATATATATATATAAATATATATATATATAAAAATATATATATATATATATATATATATATATATATATATATATATATCTTGATAAAATCACACGGAAAAACAACAGAACAAAAGGTGCTCCTTTGTTTCCCTTTTCCCCATGTGATTTTATCAAGATTTATCTTATCCACGTTTTCATTGTGGATCTACATAAAAAAAAAAAATATATATATATATATATATATATATATATATATATATATATATATATATATATATATATATATATATATATATATATATATATATTTATGGAACATCTTACCTACTAAGGATGAAGCTTAATGTTACAGAACACACACACACACACACGCAGTGTAACTTTGTGTGACGCGTTGTCTGACTTGGGGTGGCTTTGAGCGAACCATACACTTGATATTACAATTTATGTATCCTTCCCGTCCATGATTTACATCTATAACTGCAGGGCAAAAGTTACAATATTATACTAATAACACTGTCATGTATTGATACTATGACTAGTTACCAACATACAGAGCACGATGAACATAACATGATAATGATAGTGAAGCCTGAAGGATATCATAACTTGTATGTTCGTGTGTATGTTGCCCGTGAGAGTTACCGGGGGCCTCCATGTGCCCAGGTGGATGGTCAAAGTATTACACCATAAGTGTGTCAATGCTCCTCTAGCCTATGTATTTATATGGGTTTGATTAGATTACTACCCAATATAGTGGACTTTAGCTGCTCATAGTATAGATATGTAGATAATGTTCTTATTTTATCAAGATATATATATTTCATGTAAATCCACAATGAAAACGTGGATAAGATAAATCTTGATAAAATCACACGGGAAAATGGAAACAACGGAGTACCTTGATATGCTTATCACGAGAAATGGCCAAAACTATAAATTTAAGGTATATAGAAAGCCCACACAGGTAGACAGTTTCATTCACTTTTTATCGAATCACCTTGAGTCTACCAAAATGTCAGTTTTTTCTGCTATGTTCATAAGATGTCTGCGTATTTGTGACTCTGAA